TGTAAGTTGTCATACTACAACACTGTAAGTTGTCATACTACAACGCTGTAAGTTGTCATACTACAATGCTGTAAGTTGTCATAATACAATGCTGTAGGTTGTCATACTTCAACACTGTAAGTTGTCATACTACAACATTGTAAGTTGTCATACTACAACACTGTAAGTTGTCATACTACAACACTGTAAGTTGTCATAATACAATGTTGTAAGTTGTCATACTTCAACACAGTGGGAGTATCTCTCCAAACATTGTAAGTTGTCATACTACAACACTGTAAGTTGTCATACTACAATGCTGTAAGTTGTCATACTACAATGCTGTAAGTTGTCCTACTTCAACACTGTAAGTTGTCATACTAGAACACTGTAAGTTGTCATACTACAATGCTGTAAGTTGTCATACTTCAACACTGTAAGTTGTCATACAACAACACTGTAAGTTGTCATACTACAATGCTGTAAGTTGTCATACTACAACACTAAGTTGTCATTCTACAATGCTGTAAGTTGTCATACTTCAACACTGTAAGTTGTCATACTACAATGCTGTAAGTTGTCATAATACAATGCTGTAAGTTGTCATAATACAATGCTGTAAGTTGTCATACTACAATGCTGTAATTTGTCATACTACAACACTGTAAGTTGTCATACTACAATGCTGTAAGTTGTCATACTACAATGCTGTAAGTTGTCATACTTCAACACTGTAAGTTGTCATACTACAATGCTGTAAGTTGTCATACTACAATGCTGTAAGTTGTCATACTTCAACACTGTAAGTTGTCATACTACAACATTGTAAGTTGTCATGCTACAACACTGTAAGTTCCTTGACTTGTTATTCATGTATATCCGACACTTTTTAACCTTTTAGATACACGGCAGATGGGCAAACATCACCAGACTGGTGGCACTACACCTAGAATACAGGTAAGTCTGGTTACAATACAAATGTACAGTTAAGGCTGGTGGTACTACACATAGAGTACAGTTAAGGCTGGTGGTACTACACATAGAGTACAGGTAAGGCTGGTGGTACTACACATAGAGTACAGGTAAGGCTGTTGGCACTACACATAGAGTACAGGTAAGGCTGGTGGTACTACACATAGAGTACAGGTAAGGCTGGTGGTACTACACATAGAGTACAGGTAAGGCCGGTGGTACTACACACAGAGTACAGGTAAGGCTTGTGGTATTACACATAGAGTACAGGTAAGGCTGTTGGCACTACACATAGAGTACAGGTAAGGCTGTTGGTACTACACATAGAGTACAGGTAAGGCTGGTGGTATTGCACATAGAGTACAGGTAAGGCTGGTGGTATTGCACATAGAGTACAGGTAAGGCTGGTGGTACTTCACATAGAGTACAGGTAAGGTTGTTGGCACTACACATAGAGTACAGGTATGGCTGGTGGTACTACACATAGAGTACAGGTAAGGTTGTTGGCACTACACATAGAGTACAGGTAAGGCTGGTGGTATTACACATAGAGTACAGGTAAGGCTGGTGCCACTACACATAGAGTACAGGTAAGGTTGTTGGCAATACACATAGAGTACAGGTAAGGCTGGTGCCACTACACATAGAGTACAGGTAAGGCTTGTGGTACTACACATAGAGTACAGGTAAGGCTGGTGGTACTTCACATAGAGTACAGGTAAGGCTGTTGGCACTACACTTAGAGTACAGGTAAGGCTGTTGGCACTTCACATAGAGTACAGGTAAGGCTGGTGGTACTACACATAGAGTACAGGTAAGGCTGATGCCACTACACATATAGTACAGGTATGGCTGGTGGTACTTCACATAGAGTACAGGTAAGGCTGGTGCCACTACACATAGAGTACAGGTAAGGCTGTTGCCACTACACATATAGTACAACAGGTCAGGCTGTTGGCACTACACCTAGAGTACAGGTAAGGCTGGTGGTACTACACATAGAGTACAGGTAAGGCTGTTGCCACTACACATATAGTACAACAGGTCAGGCTGTTGGCACTACACATAGAGTACAGGTAAGGCTGGTGGTATTACACATAGAGTACAGGTAAGGCTGTTGCCACTACACATAGAGTACAACAGGTAAGGCTGTTGGCACTACACATTGAGAACAGATAAGGATGGTGACCATGTACTTACAGTGCTAGTAGAGTATATATGAAAAATGTGCAAATGGTGCCGACTAACTTGACCAGAAGAAATGTTTCTTTAGTTCAGTGGCTAAACATTGGACTAAAAATCAGGGTTTGATCCTGAG